AGCGCGGGAGCCGCGGGCTGACGTGACGCAACGTGACGTCACGAGGCTGACATGTAGCGAGCGTGACGTGACGAGCAATTTTCTTGAGCCTCAACATTTGCTCTCCTGCCAACCGAGAAACTATTGATAACGAGGAGTGGAATGAACACAACAAAGTCTCGTGTGGGTTTTCTCAGCGGTGCAGGTTGCAAATGGCACACAGCAGGAAGCGGGGCGCCAGCTGGGTGTGAGAGAAGAAGGCCCTGGAGATTTGTGAGAGGGAGATGCGGGATGTGGCAGTGACGGAGCGCAGATGGTGCAGCTCACATCAATGTTGGCGTGCGGGTGGATAACGGCAGTGCCAGGCCAGGCGGGTTGTGCAGCTGTGTTGTACAGCCCTGTGATGTGCTGAAATGTGCTGAAAAGGCCCTGAAAACGTGTCCTCTGCAAAAACTGAGAAAGAGGGAAAATTCCCTAGCTCCCGCCGCCTCCTTGTGAATGTTACACACAGTGTGTCCCAGTCAGCCAGTGCCTTCGGCGCTGTGATACGCGAGGGAAAGGGCGCCGGGTCCGGCTGCCCTTCGGAGGACGGTCGCCCGCTGCGGGCGGCGAGGTGCACCCTGGTGCCCGTGCAGGACGAGGACGAGCGAGTCGTTTTGAGCAGTGTCACTACACGAGTAGCTGCAGCCCGGCGACCCGGCCATGCTGGCGTGGTGCCCGCCAAGCCTCTCCTCTCCGGCCATGGTTAAACGCCGCCGAGCGCCTCGGCTCCGCGCTGCCCTTTGGCTGGAGCCCCTGAGGAGGCAGCAGCCCCGCGGGGCGCTTTGGCAGCAGCCATCGGCTTAATTCCCCAGCACGCCTGGCTGAGCATTCCCCACCCCCTTGCAACTGCCTTGTGTTTCAGGAAGGAGCGCACGAGCCTCGGCCACTCTTTCAAAAAAAGCTCCAATGTCATTGCCTAGGCGACCGGGACGCTACTTGATTGCAGGGCGGTAAATAACGTAGATCCTCAATCCCAGGCCGCTCCTGTCTGCAGGAGACCTCCGGGGGAACTCGAGGCGCTTGGGGAGCCGGAGCAGGTAGGAGGAAAAAGACAAAAGGAACCCCTTGCTCTTTGTGTGGGGGTTACTCAGCACAGAGCCTCTCCCAATTGCTGGATAACGCAGCTGGAAGGCGGTCTGTGGTGGCTTTGCTCTGGAGGGTAGCTACAGTGTATAAACGGGTCTTGAAAAGTTTGGTCCAGAGTGCCTTAGATGCAGGTACAGCACTTGTGGAAGGAGGAACAGCAAAGCTTTGGAT